GTTATTCCTGTCCTTTTCTCCTTATATTCCTATTCTTTTCTACCGATGAGATCATCAATGAATATACGGAATTTGTTTTTCTCCTTCTCTGTCCTTTCACTGGAAATGCAGGGTTCTTATTACTAATAGAGACAATGCGTTGCTACGTACAATTCCATGCATAACCAAATAGAATTCATGCGTGAACAAGAACGAGGCTCACAAATATTATGTGCAACTTAGGTGTAATAATTGCAAGAATTGCTATAATGGTTGGTTAAGAAAATGATGGATTCATTATATTAGCTTTGAATGACATCATATGACATTTTAAATCAATCAATGGCATTGCAATTCAAAGGCATGAAGCAGACTTTCATTCCCCCAAAGCCAATAGTCCATTAAAAAGAAACATAAGTCAATTTTAATTTATTTTTTCCTTCTAATTAAAATACCTTTGTTCTCCATTCAATATTAATGACTTTTCTCATAAATCACCGTTAATCATCATAAATTTGTTTAATAAAAACACGAGAAATAATATACTTACCACAAAAAAAAATTTGTCACATTTACAACCAATCTAATCACCGTTGATTTCTGTCAATCTAACGGTTATAATTTATGAGAAATTATTGAGTCGCGTTTATTAATTAATTATTAATTTCTAATAAATTCAAAAAATTATAACTATTAGATTGATAAAAATCAACGGTGATTAGATTAATTGTAAATGTGGTAAACTTTTTTGGTGGTAAATATATCCTACCCCAAAACAATAACATTAGTTTTTCAAAATTTAAGCACTCACTAACAATTTTATTTTAGAAACAATAATTATGGATCATAAATCAAGAATCATCCATGGAGAATCATAAATCAAACAATACTTCTCTTAAAATGCGGTTCATTGCATTCGACCCACACTTTCTTTCTAGGCTTCGTTAATCCGATTGATATGAATGCGAAGTCAAATATGATATGGCATGAAAAGGAGAGGTAATCAAGAGGCATGAGAAGCCAAAATGTAAAATCAAATATTGATTTTTAAAAAAGAAACTCGTGTTCCAAAGTGTTGACACAGAAATTTCCAGCTAACAGGTGGACCAAAGTTTTTCTGTCCTGAACGGCTATATTTCGGTATTAAATCAATGTCAACGTCATAGAATTAAAATTAAAATCTCTTTTTTCAACTAAAAAAAAAAGGTTAAATTATCTTTCAACGCCATCACATCCATAGGAGCAACTTATAAATTTTGGAAAAGAACAAAAAAATTGAACTGAATTATAAATTAAATTGAATTATACTTAAAATAATTAATTTGAACTGAATTTATTTTTAAACAGTTAGTTCAAAAGTCGAACTAGTTTAAAAAATTAGTTTTTCTTCTTTTTCTCTTTTATTTTATTTATTTATTTATCTAGTAACTTCTTCTTTTTTATTTTTTTTATTTTTATTACTTTTTTTTGTAATTTTCTTTTTCTATTTTTTTCTCTTATGTATTTTGTCTTTTCAACCGCATATACGAAAGTATGTCTTTGAGGAAAGTTTAATAAATGCTAATACATCTTTAGTACAATAGAATTTCATGTTTTTTGGTATTACTGCACCCTGTTATAAATTAGGTAATAATCTTCAACCTATGATTTTATTTTTATTTTTTTTGGTAAGCACTTTTATGATATTTTCCAATAAAAAGATTTGAGAATTATGCAATTCAAACTGGTTCAGAAATAGGTTTATCAAACCGAACCGATTTAGGATAAAAAAAATATTCAATTCTTTGAACCGAATTAATTTAAATTAATTTGATTTAATTTTTAAAAAAATTCAGTTAAATTCGACCCATATACATCTCTAAATACATAGACTAGGACTACGGTAGAGTTGAATAAAAAATAGAGGCACAAACTGATTAGTACTCTTCACGCGCTGTTTGAATCAAAAAGGTTGCAATTTGACAATTACGGCATAATAAAATACGTAAGTAGATGGATACCAAAAAAATTAAAAAATACGTAAGTATATAAATTTGTAGAGCTCGCTTTTATCCATATACAAGAAGGAAAAAATAGCTTAAAATAACATTATTTTGAGAATATAAGACTAAAAAATTATAATAATAAAGACTAATATAATCTTAAAATATATTAGAATTACAAAAATATCTTGATTTTTATTTTAAAATAACGTTATTTTGAGTTTACAAGAAATAACTTAGAAATCCTTTACCTATATAAGAAAATGACCAACAAGCATATTTATTAACCGATAAAGGGTTATTCAAGTTTAATTAATAGTCTTGAATTTGAGTTTTGGGAATGTACTAAAAACTTCATAGGGAAAGTTTTCTCTATCGTGGGATTCTGTCCAATTTGATCAAATTAGTCAATTACCGATAAATTGAAGAAAAAAATTAAGGGAAATACTATAATAATGTTCCTTGATGAATCAAACTACCTGCTACATTATGCAATGCAGCTACGACAAAATAATCAACATCTGTCACTGTCATTCAACTTGTAAGAATTTTTTTACCAACATTGCAGGCGCTTAAATAAAACTTTTTAACAATGTAACGAAACAAAATTGTGCATGTCAACATTTATTGGGATGATTGTTATTTATCAATTAATACCCGCTTCCCCTTAATTTTTACATACCGTTCCTTATTTTATTGACACAAGTAATATCAGTGCACTTGACTACTTGTGACATTGTTAACCCATCCATTGGCAATTTGGCATGGAGAAATTAAGGAACTGATCATTTTAGTACCCAGTGAATTTGATATATTTCTTAGACTATATTCGGGATTTTTACCTCCTTTTGGTGTTGGAAAGAGTTACAACCAAAGCAAAAGAAAGGCTTTTGACTCATTTGATGTAAATAATAAATGATATTATTCAATTAATGCAATTATGGAATAATTTATTAAAAGAATGAAGCAAGACGCGAATGGGGTGTGTTTTTACGTGGGGAGCAAATCAATGTCTATCACATGACAAACTCTGCAAAACACATGGGATGTGCGCGTTCAAGTATATGCTCATGTATTATGCTTAACTTTACTATTGAAATATGTGCGCCATATAACATATTCACCCTCTCTTCCAATACCACCCATCCCTGTGCAACAACTTAAAAGATTTAATTTGATAAATTCTTTAGTCATCGCATTCAGTCAGTTAATAGTTTTGAATTATGCACAAGTATGATTAAAGGGTTTATTATTTTTCATGGAGATAAGCACATATAAAAGTGTGTGAATCTTTTTCTCTCTCTTTTTTCACATGAATCCCACACATTTTTGTACGTGTATAGAAGATAAAATTATCTCTTATAACATGATAAACACTAATCCCATAATTTAAAGGCCCAAAATAAACCTACTAATTAGTTATGCAGTTCAATCATCGATGATCCTAACCTGTGATTAATCCAAATAGTTGGATTGTAAAGAAGAAGAAAAGAAAAACACAAAAAAAAAAACAGGGAGAGATGAATAATGATTTGGAGAGGAGAAATGGAAAAAACATGAAACAGACAAGACCCTAGGCGTTGATTGGGGCGTATATATTTAGCCTATAACTAATTCAACACGAGGTTTGTGGCATATTGTACTGCTGTCGGTCACGGTTAACATTGTGGCCCCTTTTCCAAGTTCCAATAATACATCATGATTCATGAGCAGAACCTATGTGAATTTGCATAATTTGTTTTTCGTGTCCCTATAGATCAATTTACAAGCTATAACTCCTCCAACAGAATTAATTTGGATTAGCAGTTATTATTAATCACGTGATGTAGGTAGCCCTTTATTAAGAAATGAGAGTACTTGCATATTGCAAGCAACAACTCCATAATCAAACATGGAGCACCCCAAATACAGCATCAACAGCTATACATGTAATGATGTTTATTGTGAAGTACAGTATCAGTATCAGCATCATATAAACGTTCCTTTCTCATGGGAATACAAGCCAGGTCTCTCCAAAGTAATTCATCACAATGGCACAAAGCATACTACTAAACTAGTGCTTCAGCCTCCTCCATGTTCATCATATGGAAATGAAAGACTTAGGGTGGAGGACACACAGATTCCTCTTGGATTATGTGCAGTTCAGACTTCGCTCAGAATTAGTTCTTTTAGAATGGAAGAAGACCCTTTTGTGGAAGCTTACAAGAAATGCACCAAAAGCCCCTTTATGCTACAAGGGACTGATAGGGATCATAAAAACAATGGATCAAGGCTTAGCATAAGGAAGTATATGCATATTTTTTCCTGCAAGTACTCTGGTGATGTTTGTGTTGGCAAAGTTGTCCATAACAATATGATGGGAAAACAGTTAAAAAATTAAGATAATATCTTCAAATTCAACTTCAATTGTTTGTTTTTTGTGTTTTTTTAAAGGAGGGGTCCATGTAATATGTATGTATCAAATGACAGTTTTTTATGTATCATAATTCTTTTGTGAAAACTATAGAAAAGGATTGGTGAAAAGAAGACAAGGAAGAAAGAGCCTATTTTGTTGACTAATTTTATTTTCTGCAGCCTCATATAAACGATGCTTTAATTTTGTCCATAGATAATACATTACTCCAAAGTCCAAACTGCAGATTGTCCCCGTTTTCTATTTTATAACCTCGGCCTGCTATGAACATTTTTTTCTTTTCTTTTTTGTGTTTTGATTCCGGTAGAGCTAATCTAATCCACACACCACTTCTGACCTTTTTCTTTTATTTAGAGAAATGATGATTTGCTTTTGCTAAATAATAAAAAAAAAATAGCCACTTCATCAAACTATCTCAATGCAATTTATTAAACTCGCGACTTATGCAATTTGATGCTTTTTGGAAACTTAAATGTTTTGGACTAATCTCATCTTAAATTTGTCTTATACCTTTATAACCCCATGTTATTGTCTTATTTTAAGTGATGCAAGTCCTTGTGAACTTTGTCTTCATTTTCCAATTCCTCTCTGTCCTCTTTCCAAATTAATTTCAAATCCAAAAACTATAAAATTGTATATGCTTATGCTTACGTTCTATGTTATTGTCCATTAAGATACGGTGCCATTTGGACCTATATGGGGGAACAAATATATAAAGGCCTAGTAGAATCACACTACACCACCTCAGCTACATATATGTATATAGGTCTTGTCTTTATTCCATTAGCTAAAACTCTATAGGAGAATGAGTCCACCACAAGATCATTCAGCAGGAAATATATCCTTCTCATGGGAAAAGAAGCCTGGTGTATCCAAAGTAACTACTCATGGTGAAAATCTGATCCCAAGTACAGAGAACAAGATTTTGCCAAATTTGCCACCCCCACCTTGCACAACAGAATCAGCTATTGCTAAAACCCCAGTTCATGATTTCCAAATCCCACTTCCTCCTTGTGCTTTTCAACCTCCTTTTTATAGAACTTCTTCCAAGAGGGGTCTTTTTGTTCAAGACAACGATCCTTTCTTAGCAGCTTACAAAGAGTGCACCAAGAATCAGGGAAGTGCTAAGATGAACACAGAATTGCCCAAGGCTGGTGTTGCATCAAGGTTAAGGAAGAGCTTGTCTTTTTTCTCATGTAAGCGATCTTGCAATGTTCGTGACAATAATTTGGTCAGGATCTCACACCTCTCACAAACATAGATAGGAATTGATATGTTTTTAACTTTCGTAGTTTATGTTCTGCTGGGAGATTCCTGTGTGTGAAGAATAATGTTAAGTGAGAATGATAAAATAGCTGTTTTCTATGCTCTTTTGTTCATGATTTGACGAATGTTGTTCAACTGATCCTCATACTGCCTGTAGCTATACCAATTTCATTGTTGTTGACTAGAAAACCATAGGCAGAAAATATAAAAATTCAGCACCCCACCTACCTATGACTTTATAATGGGAAACTTACCCTAATATACTATTGTAAATACTGGTTGTAGCCTTGTAGGCACACTCTATTTTTTAATTTTAATTTTTTTTTTTTTTTAAAACTTTACTTACAATAGTATAATTTAAGAGGTCTAAAGTACATGTATATTTTTAATTGGATCATAGTAATATTGGGTATGATCACTCTTCAAGCTTGTGTTGGCCCGTAAAGGCGTAAACGGGTTGAGCCGGGTTAGTCTTTAATTTAAATACATTAGACTTATATAAAATATTTTAAGTCGGGCTTAATCTATATTTTAAAATAAAAAATTTAATTTAAATTTATTAGCCTATTTAAACTTTTCAAACCCTCAATACATATTAAAAATTAGAAAATTTAATGAAATATTATTTTATTTAAATAAAATAAATAAAATAATTATTTATTTTATTTTAATAAAAATAATAATACAATATAGACTTACTTGTATATTAGTAGGTAAAGTCTTATCAAAATAAGCATATGACTTGCTTTTAAACATGCTTTTTTTTAAAATTTGAACTTGTTTTATTTTATTAAATATGTCATATCAAGTCTGATTTAATATAGAAAGGGTTGTAGGCCATTATAGACCATTTTACTCATTTGAACTTGTTTTATTTTATTAAATATGTCATATCAAGTCTGATTTAGTATAGAAAGGGTTGTAGGCCATTATAGACCATTTTACTCATTTCCACCTCCAGAGTTGGGTATGCGAGTTTCTTTCTCTTGCCCTTGGCGCATAAATGCCTAGCACCTCATTTGATCTAGTTCAAATAGAAACAGAGTAAAGAAATTGAGCATGTCGAAAAAAAATTGATTGACAAAATATTGAATTGCAATGTGATAAACGATCTAAGGATAGTCCAAGGGTCGAGCAGTTGAAATGAGATCAAGTTCTTTTTTGGAATTGTGATATTGATGTCTAATTTTAATTAGACCATTTTCAATATAATAATAATAATAATAATATATTTATTAAAAATGTCAAACATTCATTTTAGTCGTGATTGGTATACAAGAAGATAATCTTCTTGTCACTATTTATATTACTACAAAAGATGCAAATAAGAAATGCATATTAGAAAAAGTATTTGTCTTTTCTTTCGGTTTGTACTACACAGATATTCGCATGGTTGAAGTACATATGATGTTAAATCAAAAGAATACAAATTATGATAGTTTCATTATTTGGCATGATCGATTGGGTCATCCCGAACCAAATATGATGCAAAAAATAATAGATAATTCATATGATCATCCAATGAAAAACCAGAAGATTCTTCAAATCAATGAATTTTCTTGTGCTATTTGTTCTCAAGAAAAATTTATTACTAGACCATCACCAACTAAAGTTGGAATTCAATGTCCTTCGTTTCTGGAACACATACAAGGTGATATATGTGGATCTATTCACCCATCATGTGGACCATTCAGATATTACATGATTTTAGTAGAAGCATATATAAGATGGCCACATGCATGTTTATTATCAAATCGCAATTTAGCATTTGCGAGATTGCTGGCTCAAATAATAAGATTAAGAGCACAATTTTCAGATTATTCAATAAAGACAATTCATCTTGATAATGCTGGTGAATTTACATCTCAGACTTTTAATGATTATTGTATGTCAACTGGAATCACAGTTGAACAGTCTGTTGCTCATGTTCATACCGAAAATAGTTTAGTAGAATCATTCATTAAATGTCTCCAATTAATAACTAGACCACTGCTTATGAGAATAAAACTTCATGTTTCAGCATGGGGATATGCTATTTTACATGCAGCATAACTTGTACGCATTAGACCAGCAAGTTATCAAAAATTCTCCCCATTACAGTTGGCTTATGGTTAGAGCCAAATATTTCCCATCTTAGAGTTTTTGGATGTGTTGTTTATGTTCCAATTGCTCCACCACAACGCACAAAGATGGGTCCCTAAAGGAAGTTAGGAATATATGTTGGATATGAATCTCCTTCTGTAATACAATACATTGAACCAATGACGAGGAATTTATTTAAAGTAAGGTTTGTTGATTGTCATTTTGATGAATCAATCTTTCCAACATTAGGGGAAGAGAATAAACAGCTGAAAAAGGAAATTGATTGGAATGCAATATCATTATCTAATTTAGATCCTTGCACAAAATAATGTGAACTTGACGTTCAAACGATAATTCACTTGCAAAATATTGCGAATCAACTGCCAGATGCTTTTGCTGACCAACCAAAAGTTACTAAATCTTATATTCCTGCTGTAAATGCTCCAATTCATATTGATGTCCCAGTAGGACAGTCTAGTGCAAATGAAACTAAACCACGCTTAAAACGTGGAAGACCAATCGATTCTAAGGACAAAACTCCTCGAAAAAGGAAAGGAGAAAATGATCAAGATGGTCATATTATGGAGACAAGTACTTATGAAAATTCTGAAGACATAACTTTACATAAAACCTCAGTGGAGGTTTAGGTACCTGGAATTGATGAAAATGAAGAGCTCTTAATTAGTTATGTTACTTCAGGAAAAAGATGGAACTGAAACGATATAGTTGTCGACAACGTTTTTGCGTATAATGTTGTTATTGAAATAATAAAAGAATGTGAGGACCTTGAACCTAAAACTGTTGATGAATGTACACACAGAAATTATTGGCCAAAATGGAAAGACGAAATTCAAGAAGAATTGAATTAACTCAAGAAACGTAAAGTTTTTCGACCAATAGTTCAAACACCTGAAGGTATAAAGCCAGTGGGGTACAAATGGGTTTTTATTTGAAAACGTAATGAGAAAAATAAAGTCGTAAGATATAAAGCACGACTTGTAGCATAAGGGTTTTCACAAAAGCCTGGCATTGATTATATGGAAACATATTCTCCTGTGGTGGATGCAATCACCTTCAGATATCTTATTAGTCTAGCAGTACATGAAAGACTTGACATGTGTCTAATGGTATAGTTACAACCTACTTATATGGCTCACTTGATAGTGAAATTTATATGAAAATCCCTGAAGGATTCAAAATGCCTGAAGCACTTAAAAGTTCCCGAGAAATTTGTTCAATAAGGCTTCAAAGATATATGGATTAAAGTAATCAGGGCGTATGTGGTATAATCGCCGTAGTGAATATTTATTACAAGAAGGCTACAAAAATAACCCAGTTTGCCCTTGTGTCTTTATTAAAAAACATGTATCTAAATTTGTTATAATAAGTGTACATATTGGTGACTTGAATATCATTGGCAATACTAAAGAATTTTTAAAAGCAATAGATTATTTGAAGAAAGAATTCGAAATGAAAGATCTTGAAAAGACAAAGTTTTTGCCTTGGATTGCAAATGAGCACTTAACAAATGGAATATTCATCCATCAATCAACTTATACAGAGAAGATTTTAAAGCGATTTTACATGGATAAAGCACATCCATTGAGTACCCTGATAGTTGTGAGATCGCTTGATATAAATAAAGATCCATTTCGAACTTATGAAAATGAGGAAGAACTTCTTGGTCCTGAAGTACCATATCTTAGTGCAATTGGGACACTAATGTATCTTGCTAATAATACACGTCCAGATATAGCATTTTCTGTAAATCTGTTAGCAAGATTTAGTTCCTCTCTAACACTAAGACACTGGAATGGTGTTAAGCATATATTTAGATACCTTCGAGGAACCACTGATATGGGTTTACTTTATTCAAGTGATTGTGGACATCAACTTGTTAGTTTTGCAGATGCAGGATATTTATATGATCCACACAAAGCTAGATCCCAAATAAGATATTCATTCACAAGTGGAAGCACAACATTTCATGGCGTTCAACAAAGCAAACTATACCAGCCACTTCTTCAAACCATGCAGAGATAAAAGCAATTCACGAGGCAAGTCGAGAATGCGTTTGGCTAAGATCAATAACGCAACACATGTGAAAAGCATGCAGTCTCCAATTAGAAAAAGAGGTTCCAACAATGTTGCATGAAGATAATGCTGCTTGTATAGCTCAATTAAAGATAGGATACATCAAAGGAGACAGAACGACGCATATTTCACCAAAATTCTTCTTCACTCATGATCTTCAACAAAATGGGAAACTAATGTTCAACATATCCGTTCAAGTGATAATTTGGCATATTTATTTACCAAGGTGTTACATACTTCAAGTTTTAAGAAGCTCGTTAATAAGATTGGGATGCGTAAACTCAAAGATATTAAATAATGTTATCATCAGGGGGAGTGAAATACGTGCTGCATTTTTTTTCTTCACCATGGTTTTGTCCCATTGGGTTTTTCTAGTAAGGTTTTAAATGAAGCAACTTCTAATATGTATTTCTTCTCAATAGGATTATTGGACATCCAAGGGGGAGTGTTATAAACAATTTGACCGTTGGTTGTACATATACGTTATATAACCGTTATGACCGTTGGAGACGTTATGACTGTTGGAGGTGTTATAACCGTTGGACAAGTAATTGTAGTTATTGTAACTTTCATGTTTTCTGAGCCTATAAATAAGGCACGTATAAAGTACGATATGACCGTTGGAGGCATTATCATCGTTGGAGACGTTATCATCGTTGGAGAAGTAATTGTAGTTATTTTTAACTTTCATGTTTTCTAAGTCTATCAAATAAGGCATGTAAAAAACATCATGGTGGGACTACAATACAACAAGAATATATTCCCCTATCCCTCTTATCGCTATATTCCTCTTCTAGTTCTTATTAATTTTACAACATGTTATCATCACGAAGCTCTACCCAAAAAGAGAATTGCAACCGGAAGTAATCTTACAAGCATCATGTCAAATCTTGCAAAACTTGGATTTGCTGCTCTTGATATAACGGGCAAAAATTATTTGGCATAGGTCCTTGATTCTGAAATCCACCTTG